ACGATCTTCCACCTGCAGCTACCGACCCCCCATCTCTCCTGTTGATCACTCGCAAAGACCGCGCATATCGTCTCTGCCTCCACCCACGAACTATCAACCCCTCACACGCAGCAGAAGCACCACCAGGAGCCAACAGAAACGACCAACAACAACCCTTCTGCTCTCCGCATCTCGCGCTTCGCAACGCAACACACCGTACCGTACCGTATCATTCGCACCTCGCGTCACCTCCAAGTCTCCCAGTGACCAAAAAGGATTCAACCACTCATAGTCAATCCAGTATCAGCTGTGCATGCTCTTCTCATACATTCCCATCACAGTTGCTACCCCATCGCCACCCTCCAGCTCCCGCCACAACAGCGATCAACACTGCCGCCACCTTTTCCTTTTGCGACGTTATTAGCAAACAACCTACCTAAGCTTCCAGCTTGGATCTTGCTTTGTTCCAGCATTGGGCTTTGAGATTTCCAACCTCGTTGACTCCTCCATCTTGGTTTGCGCCCGCTCCAGCTATTGGTTTCTCAAGCATAGGCTCAAGCTCTCAGACTGGAGTGAATCTGAGTTCCACTTCTGCAACTTGATTGCAATTTCACATGCCACGCGCAGTGGTTACTATGCGACTACGCCCAGCTCGAAACACTTCGTTATCCATCTTGATTATGGCTCGCCGTCGTAATTAATATCGACGGCCGCCTTTCTTGTTAACTCAACCTGCTGCCCAAATCCCTGAGTGCGCCTCCCGACATGCTCGGCCGGCTCTTGCACTTGGGCTCTGGCGGCCCTTCAGCCACGCCTACACAGGCCAGTACAAAGACTTCGAGGCCAGTATCCTCCCTCGAATCTGCCCAGGAGGATATGGTGACTCGAAATCTGCTTTTCCCAGACGCCGATGCTTTATATCAGCATCACAATGATCAAGTGTTCCCCCTATCAACCACACCAACAACCCCTGCCACCTCTACGGCCAATGCCTTTGACTACAGCGGCGATGTCGACTTGGACGTACGTGATGTTAGGGTCATCATAATGCAGGATGCCCTAGGACCTTCTAATGCAACTCTTTTGTTTGACAGCCACCCTGCTCCTCCAGTATCGCCCACGGAGCGTCCGCCTATCCCTCCAGAGTTTCGAAGAACGCCAACTTCACCACGAAAAAGCAGTCTTGGAGGCCTATCACGACCCCTGGTTATCCAACCGGAAGGACCTCAGCCTTCGCCTCGACAGGGTGCTTTTGATCGACGAGCCTCCCTCCAGGGGCGCAGGGATAGTCACGTCGAGTCAGATGGACAGAAGGCTGCTCGTGAGTATCGCGAGGAACTGGCGACGTTCTCAAGTTGCATCTTCGGTAACTCAGAATTAATGTCGTACAAGGGAACATCGACCAAGGTCCATGTTGTCCCTGGCGAGTCACGTCCTGCTGAACCTTCAAGTAGCATTGTTGGGGATGGCCGGAGCTCCATCGGACGCTCTAGCGCGCGTTCAAGTCGGCTATCACAGTCCTTCTCCTCACAAGCATTCTCCCCTACAAATATGTCCGCGGCCCAAAATCACACCTCTACCTCACGACCTGCCGAGAAGAAGAAGGTGCTAATAACTCGCTTGTTTCCTGTCAATCTTACTATTGATGACCCAGAAACCAACGTATCGCCCTCTAAAGATGATGCAGAAGAGAATACAGGCTTCCCCTTTCCAACGACGAGCGAGGAGTCTGTGCCGAAGAAGAAGAAGCCTCAGCCGAAGCAACGACGAACACCGATGTATGCCGTGGTCCTAGTCGTCCAACTACCTGCTGCAAATAACACCACAACTCGAATGTCATCTATGAATCAGTCTAAATCCGCGCAGCGCGAATCAAGCTCTTATAACGATCAAGAGTTTTTCCCATCATCTTTCAGCTCAGCTCGTCCTTCAGGATGGACAATGGTTGGGTCCGGAAACGGTGATGGGTCAGACACTTATACACCAGACATGGAGGATAGAATCGACTCACTGACTCGGCATTGGGATATCATTATGAGGACATTGACTCATCTTCAATCTGTGGTGGCTACTACGCTGGCCACGTTACTAAAGCAGGTCGACCTGGCTTCTCCCGGTCCAGCCCCTGGACCGGTTCCACCTCCAGTAGTAACTAACAAAACTGGCAGAGCACATTCCTTCTCGGACCAGTATCGGGGTGACATGTCTCGGATTAAGCCTTCGAAGGGCACCACCAAGCTGGTTTACCTTTGGCCAAACTGTCTCACTGATGATAAGACTGTTATACGAGAAGTCGATACCGCTCGACAAAGAATTGTCATGGGTTTGAGCGCAGCAAGAGTCGTAACTGGCCAAGGCCGTTGGGGAATCTGGCGTGATGAGGCTCGATGGGCCTCCAAGTGGGTTGCTGGCACCGACAATCAGAACCAGTTCCTCTACAATCTCCTGACAGGGTTTCTGTCAACCCACACAGATTGGCTGCAGGCTCTTTGCCCTCCCTCTTATCGAAGACGGCTGTATCTTCAGCAGAAGAACAGAAATGAGGAGGACCTGTCATTGCCGGCACGAACCATTATCGTGTCTGATGACAAAATGGTTGCTAGGCGCCTCATCTTTCTTCTTTCTGCCTTTCTTCCTGCCAATTCTCATTTTCCCACGACCCGTGCTCATCGGCCCAGCACTTCAACTTCTGTTGGAACTTACTCTAACTCGCCCCCGACCTTCGTAATTCCTGTTCTACGGGAAGAGTCTCTTCGTCGAAAGATCAACAGACGCACAGGCCTCCGCCGAGCCTCGCATTCTAGAACAACGAGCCAAAGCGCGAGGGCCTCAGCTGTCCCCATGCAACTCGCTCATCTGACTATGGATCGCAATCATGAAAGGCGAGTCTCGGATGCAGCTTCAATCCGACCCCCAAATTTCGCAATGTTTGGCAACGATGTTGTTAGCAGGAAGAGTAGTGCTGCGACAACTACAACAATTATGCCCGAGACGACTATACCACATTTCTCGACAGCTCAGAGAGTGGAATCTCAGAGAAGGCCTCGCCCGAGCAGCAGCGGCAGTGTCGCTACTGACGACTTGAAGCGCTCCTTAAAGCGAGGTGAAAGCACAGGCGCGCTGAGCAATGCCAGTAGCGACTCTAGAAGTCAAAGTTCGCGCTGGGGGAGCGTCATCGGCGCCCTGTGGAACAATCGACGCCGCGACTCAGCCTCGTTCAGCACATATGGTGGGTATGATCCGAAATCACCCACCAAGGCTTCGTTTCATAGAGCGGATAAGCTGTCTCAAATGGTGGAAGAAACATCTCTGGCAGATAACACTAGCGTTCCTTCACCATCGGACCGCCGGCCTTCTACTGATGCTCTGAAAGGGACTGGTACACCAAGAGAATGCAAAGGTCACAGTCGAGAGCCATCTATTCGCCCTGACAGGACACCGGACCCTAACGGCGCATTCGAGTCCCCTGTTAAAACATCTATCAATGCCGATGATGGCGTCATTGACGTAGATATCTCCTTTCCTGATTATATGACGTCCTTTGAGTCTGCTATCAGCTCGCCTTCAAGTAGTGGCTACTTGTCTACCCCTGGACTACAAAGCGGACTAGAGTCATTTGAACAGGCCTCACGTTTGTGCATAGATGGCGATCTCCCACTTAACGCTGCTGGCTGGTTGAACCGTTATCATCCTGATTTTGCTCTTCAAGCTATTCCTCCCCAGGAGGATCTGATGGTGCAAATCAAGGCATCTCTCCAGGCTGAGCCCACGCCTCCGCCAGCCCACCCCATCTTGGGCGACCTAAATGAACGCTGGGTTGATATTAGCAGCGTTATGATTGCTGATACCACCACCAACTCGATCACTCGTCTGCGGTACCGTCGGCTAGTCAAACCACGATCGCCAGCTGACCACCGACCTCTCACTGGCCCACCTGGTCTGTCGACCTCTTACGGTGGGCTACTTACTCCCTCGATTCTCCCTTACGAGACTCAACTTGAGGAAGAATGGATCGAGGAGCCTGTCCTGCATCCTGATGAAACCCTGACTGATGCCGTCGAAAGAGTCATCAGCTTGAGCCAAGACACCAGCAAAGATCATTCTTTGGCTTCCTCTCAAACACATAGCGATACCCGCATGAGTACCGAGGTTGAAGAACCTCTATCTATCACCGCTCCCGTCACGCCAGCACTGCCTCAGGTACCCTTGGAGATCCCTCGTGTCCAATGCAAGACCGTTGTCCTCTCTGCTCTCGAAGACAGTATTCGCGAAGTTATTGACATTCGCGAGAAGCGGCACCTAGAGACCAACCATGCTAGAAATGGCCGATCGCGAAGCCCACTTCACGATGCCATTGGCTTGTGGCTTGACAATCTCGATATCAACGATGGATGAGCTCATCAAGACCATCCTCATTTAATGACTTTATGACTTTGTTTTCAGCGTCCATCCCCCATACAGTTTTGTCTGACGGAGCTACAATTGCCACAGGATTTTTCCTCCCAAGACCTCCAAATGATACCCCATGTAACGCCTCGTGCGTACGTACAAGCCTTGGAAACGGCCATAGCAGGAGAAGCATGTGTAAACATTGTTCCGAGTTCTCTTTACTTTCAACGCATCTCACTTTGGATTAGACCCTGCGCATTGTGGCATGTTTGGGTCAACTATCTTTTTACTAGCGTTTTAATTTGCTCTTCTGATTGCTTCCTGGCGAATTTGACCGCACTAGAGGTTGGCGTTTCGTGATACGGCAGGGACAACGATAGCCTTGGAGTTTTGGCGAATATTCATAGCAATATCTACTGCAATATTAGATTATCAACATATTTTTTTAAATCTAACGAAGAATTACTGTGAGTTCGCTCGATTTTGAAATATCAGGTGCCCGTCATAGCTATCCAATGACTTGTCGAGTCGTAGATCAGTCATTCAGGACGGCCAAGATTCAGGTATATGGGCCATCAAAAGTACATCTCTTCACAATTAATGATCATGATGTGTCATAATATACAAAGCACTCATCGCCCAGTCAGGCTCGATCCACTGTCATACTGAACACTACTCCTTCGTAGAAACGACATTGGACTATTAAGTCGCTTAGTCGGTGCTCCGTCATTTCCTCCCAGAACACCAGGTGGCAGTCCCAAAGTGGGAATACTTGCTTCAGGCACGGCCTCCAGAGGTGTCGAGGCCGCCGCTGTTGCAGGCGTACCCTGAACCTTTTGCCCCTTCTCCATGGCTTCTTTGTAGAACTCCTCGAGCGCAGACGTATCCTTGCAAAACGCGTCTATCTCGGCGTTGAGGGCATCAGGATCAGGGGTCGTAGAGGACACTGCTTTGTTATTCTGATCAACTGGTTTCAGGGCTGGTGAGTGGTAAAAGTGTGTTGGTTTGACAACCGGAGATGCAAGAGTTGCTGACTCTGTCATTCCAAAGGTAGAATAAGGGCCATACGATGACATACGACCACCCCGTTCTACCAGGGGCGGGTCAGCTGAACGAACTTCTTTCTCGCGCGGGTTCGCAGATCGACTGCTGTACAAACGATTGGCGAGAATCAAGAAGTCACCCTCGTCTGTAATCTCTGCCAACAGAGAGCCGCTGCGATGGATATACTGGGTGTATTTATAATCCGGCTTGCCCCAAGAATAGGTCACATCGACATTACTCGGGAAGTTAGAGGCTGCCTCCATATCCAAAACGAAGTCGAACTTCTTCAGGATGGCAGTTTGGTAAAAGTGCTTATTTGGGGACGTCGTTGGACCCTGTGAGTTAGGGTCAATATACGTCTCAGGCCTCTGATCAGGAGGACGCGCTGCCAGCTTGATGCGATATGGCCTTCTGAATGGATTTGTTTCAGTGATTGTGCATGCCTCCTTAATGGGGACTTCAACAAGTCGAAGGCCATATTGACTGGCCTCTCGGGCCCAACTTTCAACTGCGTCTTCCACCAGTTTTGTCGTGACGTTCATCCAGTCAATGCGGATATGGTAACAACCGTCAGGATTGTGGAGGCGGTCATAATGCAAGTCGATCCTCTCTGGCCTATATGATCGCTTGCGGTGGTCAACATCGTACTTGATGACTTTGCTAAGAACAACTCTGGATCGTTTCACGCTTTGAGAAAGCGATATAGTTGGGGTCGTCGATGTTGACGCAGGAGAACCGCCTTCGTCAACGGAACGAGCCGACATCAGAGCTCGAGGTGAGTCTCGGCTGGAGGCTTCGAGACTCGGCGTTGGGGGCACTGCAGCTCGTCGCGAGTTGAACCATCCTACATGAGGTTTGGCAAACTCACTGGCAATTTGGTAGTAGTAGTTGCCATCGCGGAACTGATGTCTCTTGTCGACGTGAACAAAAAGCCCCTTGTCCTTAGAATTACCCGATTTTCCATCATCGTGTACCATTAGAGCATTACCCAGTGCCTCAGCATCTTCTCTAGTATCGAGATCCTCAAAGTTGTCGAGCAGCCAAGTCACCATATCAGAGCCGATGAAGGACGCAGAGTAGAGGCGGAGATGCCACCTTCGGTTCTGTAGTCTAACGCCTCCATTCTCAACAGGCTGTTGCATAGCATCAGCTAACGTGGCCAAGTTTAGGTTGGATTTCTTAAAGCGCTCCTTGGCCGAGACAAGCCCCTTTCGATTGCCACCCTCCAACCCTTCCGTGAGAGGAAGCGTTTCGACTTCAGCAGCAATCACCACGGAGGGGTCATCGGTTTTGTATACGATATCTAGGGGGTTGGGGTCCCTTTTGCGTTTCTGCTGCCCGACAGAATGATATCTTCGTTCAGAGGGAGGGATGTAGCGATGCTTCTGCCAGGATTGAGCAAGACGCTTGATACCTTCAATTCGCACCTCTTCAGCATGGTCACCACCCTGCGTTTTTGATACGGGGACATCTTTCCGCAAGACAGGGATAAGAACAAATCTTGCACGCCAAAAGCGCAGACTGTCCATCATTTCGTCGTGATGCCCAGCAATGTATGAATCAATCATGTTCCAATTACGCTCAGGACGAGCGGTAAGGAGGTCGATTTCCCGTGCCTCATATGCATCATCGAGAAGAGTTCGAATGGCAGGTTTGTAGATCGGCGAGAAGCCTTGAGAGGTGAGCGAAGTGTCAGTTGGCTTTCGTACAAAGATGTTCACCTCGACTTCTGTGCCATTAACGCACGAAAGTTGGTGAATGCTGTTGCCCACAGACATGAAAATACTCGTGCCATCTTCAAGAGGTTGGTCTCTCGAGAAAATGTCACCGATCTTGATCGAGTTTTGTCCAAATGCACGGGCAACCCATGGTCCTACGACAACTTGGAAGCCCTGAGTGAATCTCAAGCTTATCAATTCTTGAATAAAGTCTTGCCGAGATTTGGGCTCCTCGACCATGTCGTCATCTGTATCTTGCTCAACAGTGTACGGATGGCGATGATACTCGCTATCAAACTGAGTCTTGGAGGGGAAATACTCGGTTGTCAAGGGTACAGAAGCAGGGCAACAAAGAGCTTTCCATTTCTGGACCTTCATCTGACCGATTTGTGGATAAACATGCTGCCATCGGCTATACAAGACAGTATCGTCGATCGCAAGGCTTTCCGGGTTCGATGGATTCAGCAGTGTCAACCACGGGGTAATGGAAGTGGTGGGTGACAGAGTTGTTGGGAGGTCTTGAACAGCACCGCCCAACGCACCCGCACGTAGCTTGTTGGTGTAGAGTTTCTGGGCGTCATCAGCGCGAAGGGCATCCGAAGACCTAAGATCACGATCGTCCTCCCTCTTTTGCTGCCGACTATTCAACGACGAACCTATCGTTGATGAGGCGGTCCTCAGCTGCATCGTAGCAATATCGAGGTTTCCAGAATTATTTCTCTTGAGAATGGGAATGCTAGGAGTCATGGGCACCCCTTCGATGATGGCGTCAGGGGTGTCTGTTCGATATTTATGTACAGACAATGACGATGGGTGGCTTGCAATTGTTTGAGGCGAGCTTGGCCGTAGTTCTGGGCGGATTCGAGGGGTTGACGGTTGTTTTGCTTCGCCAGACGTAACGCCTGAGGCGTTGACTGTCTCGGCCCTGATCTCTGCAACTACCGCCTTTGGAGCAGCGATGCCAAATCCTCGCTGTCCGAGGCTAATCTGCCTCATTAGCTTGGGTTGCTTTGCAACTGTCTTTGGGGGCTTTGGAGCAGGCGGCTCAGCGCTCTTTTTCAAGCTTGTAGGCGATGGTTTCTCGCCGTCCATGATGTTCATCGACAACTTCCGTGCCGAAGGGCCAAGAACCGGTGCCTTTTTCTCTGGGAGAGAAGTTCCGTATAGACCAGAGTCCTCTGCCAACTGTCTTCTCGTGATCTCATCCAAATCTTTTGCATATCGTGACGAATGATGTCGACTGCGACTACTTGAGATTTTGGCCCTATGGTCATCAAACTCTTGCAGCTGTTTCCACAATGACTTTTCACCAGGGCGTGCAAGTCTATCTGGAACAAATCTTTGAAATCCATGAATGTGATCTAATAAACCCTCCGGGGGGCGCTTGTTAGGAATGTAGACAGTGTCATTGATCCCAGTATTTCGATACTTCTGCGAGGATGGCGGTTCGGTGATGTTGGCCGGGAAATGTGTGTCAACTTGCAAAGGTGTTGTTTCAATTTCGTTGGTTTCAAGGACACTTCTCATCTGCAATGCATACATGCGGCATCTAATGTTGAACTCGTCTTCGTCATCTTGCATGACTTTGTTGGAGACAGATAGGGCAATGCCTTCATAGGACAAGGCCTCGTCGGATGCGCCGGTCCAGAAAGAGACATGAAGCCATTGAGGCAATGCAAAGCACCACTGCTCACTTGTTGCCATAGACATGAGAGGATCTGAACGACGAGAAAGGCTCATTCCCTTCGAAGGTGAGAAAGATTCGCCGAGAGATTGATAGCTACCGATCACTGGTGTAGGATGATTAGGCGTGCTATCCCGGCTGTGGAACGACCTTGAGAAGCTGGAACGATGAGCATGGCCATGATCATCCGAATACTGCGGATTGCGGTATTTGAATAGGGGAACTGAATGGAGAGGCATCTTAGGCATGCATATTAGATCAATACCAATACCATTTCCAACCAATGCCTCTGTTGTCCTCCGCAGCGTCTCGTAGTCTACCTCAAAAACTCCAGAGCCAGGGCTGATGACTGCGATGGAAATTCCAGTTCTGGTGAGATCCCTGTCGATATGATCATGGGCGAATTGGGACGAAGCGAGGTTGATCGCCTCGAGAACATTGCCATACATGGCATATGTTGATTCAGCCTTGACACGAGTTGAAGGTGTATCCGTAGGAATGGAACCTCGACCATCAATTTCTGCTTGAGCATTGAGTTTATGATGGTGCAGGCTAATATCCCGACGGAAGAAGTTGAACTCCACCTTGAGCTGATGCAGGATCTTTGTCCACTCTCCGCTGCCCATCTCACTGACCACAACTCGATAGAAGTCTTTGTATGGTCGACGCGGCCCAGATGGCTGAATGCCTGTATAATAGTCCCCCAACAGGTTGTCAAACTCGGCTGTCAATCCGGTGTCATATTCCACGCGCGCAAAAAGGACGATGCTCACGAGGTGTTTAGCCTTGAGCATGGCCCATCTCTTGAACAGCGCGGGGAGAAAGCCGTTGACAACCTTGTTAAACATGATCTCGCCAGAGCTTTCGGCGTCGAATTCCCACATCTCTCTGGCCATTTGAATGAATAGGACGTATCTGGCGGATTCACTGCGGAAGATGGGCCGAGTATCCCGGGTGAAAAAGGCAGAGTGCGTTCTGCGGCCATCGACATAGATTGCAGTGACTTGCGCCTTGATTGTACCCATAAACAACACCAATTGGCCTTTGTAGACAGTTCTTCCCGTCAACTCACCAACAGTCATTCTCCAAATGTCTGATCTGGACAAGTACTGATCCTTAAACGACAATTCGACGTGCGACGCTTCCGTAGCTGGATTCTTCGCATCCACCTGTATGTTTGTTAGCAGCCTAAACGGTATAGGTAGAGGAATGCTTACCATCGTCAAGAGGACCTGCGAGCCCTTCTTCATCCCAAACGCATCGGCAATGTGCTTCAAGACGTAGACCTCAATATCGGGATTCCGCGTTTTCGTCTCTTGAGGCATGTCTTTTGCGACAAAGAAGTATTTAAAACACGCACCGTCCCCATTTTGAGTGCCCGCAGTCCCCTTCGAACCATAACTCTGTTCCTGGTTCTGCTTGCTACCGGCGCCATGGCCGGTGGAGATCTTTCGCAAGTCATCTTTGACTGTCGCTATACACATCAAAGCTCCCGGCTTTATGTCCCCACCAACTACGTCGAAATTGAGCAGGACCTCATCTCTAGCGTAGCCCTCGTTAACGGTCACGGTGCATCGGCGTTCTATTCTTGTTCGCTTCTCTTCTTTGATAGTGGAATGAGTCGATACGCTCGCGGGCGATGCAGGGACGTCGGTTTGGGAGCGATCCAAACTTGATCTGCTTAGATGTCGCCAATGAGGCGGTCCCTTGCGAGGGACCGGGTTCCTCATGATACCATTTCGTGACATGAGATATGGCTGGCTATCGCTATCGCTATCGCTATCGGTCGCTATGTGGCAGAATTCGACAGGGCGCGATGCGATCCTGTAGTTCGCATGTTGGTCTCAATAGATTGACACGGTCGACGAAGCCGATGGAGAGGCTGCAGATGAATTGTCACTCGTCGCAATGGCTATCGTTAGTAGTATTGCGACTAAGAAGCTGAGGTTGGCTGTCGCGGCAGAATCTTGTCACCGCCTTCCAACTTAGGAAGCTTGCTCTCTAAGTCAACCTCATTGTGTAACATGATTGGTTGGTTAGTGATACAGCTATGTACTTACCTACTCTATGAACCGACAAGACCTCAAGCTGAACTCCCACTTCCTTGTCTTTGATAACGGAAGTACCTAATATTCATGACGATATGACAAGTCCTGGAACCACAGTTGATGATTATCACAATCTGAACAATACCGAGGCGTTCCAACACCAAGAACCTCTTAATCTTGTATCGAACAAGTCTTTCACGCACGGTTTGTATAGAAACCTTGGGGATGCAAGGTCAATGTTTACCTTAGCTACAGCATCCAATGTCACCCCTAATAATTGAGATACGACTCACCACATGGATTTGATGTGGTTCACCTTGTTTTTCTCATTTACCAGAAATCTAAATAGCATTAAAAACTCTTTATAAATCACGCTTTAACTAACGATGTCCTAACTGAAGTGCAAACCAGACCTCCGACGCCTGTCGCTTTTCGCGCTTGTTTCTTTGCCTTTGCACCACCACCCATCCCACAAAAATCGCTATGTACTGTGAGGTTTGAATAGGCCTTATCCAAATACCTACTTGGTGGAGAAATACTGCAGGACGATATGCAGAATCGTTGGGGGCGGGAACGGGTAGCCACATATAACCCAAGATGGAAGTATAAACAAAGAGAGAAACCCCTCCCCCAAAAAAAGAAATGTACAGATTTGGAGAAAAAAGAATGACTACTCGTCTGAGTGTGTTGGGTACCCTATTACGTGGTCAGTAAACACAGTAAAGAAGCATGATGGGGCGCCAAACTTACACCATGAGCAAACTGCGATGATGGAATAAAGACAGATGAGAAGCCAACCCTCCAGCCAGTGACTTTTACCGTCTGCGATCAAGTAGTTGACGAGCAAAACAGCCACGAACATAGTTGCAACTTGGAATAAGTCGAAACTCAAGTTCATGGTATCGTTGCCCATTCCCCAGCCGATAATAACCAACAAGGGAATCAAAAAGAGAGCAACCTGCATAGAACTTCCAACGGCCACACCGATGGCCAGATCCATTTTATCCTTGATTGCGACGGTCACAGCTGTGGCGTGCTCGGCTGCGTTACCCACGATAGGCAGCAGGATCAGTCCTACGAATTCTTCCGATACACCTCCAGTCTTGGTGACAGCATCGATGGAATCAACCATGAATTCGGCACAGAGAGCGATCAGGACGGTGGCGATTGTCAACGTGGCGATGGCCACCCAGAAGTGTAACTGAGGCTCTTCCTCCTCATCTTCATCGTCTTCGGCCTTTGGAAGTCTGTGAGGGTTCATAAGCATCTCAGACAAACGCTCATTCTCTTCGCGTCCTGTCATGCCACCGCCAACAAGAGCACCAGGAACCATGATACCTTGTCGGATATCGCCAGCTCCGGCACTTCCACGGGACCAAGGCTTTGCGGCAACCTTCTGGCTTTCCTTGGCGAATGTGCTCTGGTGAGTCTTGAGCTGGAAAAGGAGATAGGCGGCATAAACGATGAGAAGGATCACTGCTGTGCCTCTTGAGAGCCGGGCTACATTAGCGGGCGGTGTGTCCTTTGCTTGATCGAAAACAGTTGGCACGATGACTGAGGCGACGGCGAGAGCGAGCATGCTGTGTGAAATCAATTAGGAATCGCCCAACCAGTATGTAGCGGCACTTACCTAGCGGCTGTTTGGGCGACAGTCTCGTTAAAATATTGACTCTCGCGTCGCAAGCCACCGAAGAAGAAACAGAAGCCCAGGACCAGTAGAAGGTTACTTAGAATTGAGCCCACCAGCGACGTCTGAACGATGATGACTTTTCCATCGACAAGAGCCAGGATAGCCACAATGAGTTCAACGGCGTTTCCAAAGGTGGCGTTGATCAGACCACCCAAGACCTCGCCCGTTCGCAGAGCGATCTCCTCTGTAGCGAAACTGAGAATAGCGGCTAAGGGTATAATTGCGATGAAATTAACCACGAAGACGGCGATTCGGTTAACGCTATGGATGTAATTGAGAGCGATACCGACTGGGGCGGCAATGAGAAGGATATTGATATATGAGTTGAGAAAGGTTCTCTGAAGTTGGTTCCGGACGGTAAATGGCTCCTTGGGCTCGACCTTGCGGAATATTTTTGTAGACTCTCGTTTCTTAAGTTTTCGCTTTTCGAGATCGATATTGTTGTCTGCTGCAGCTGGGATATCCTCGCGTTTTCTGTTTCGCAATTGATTTTCGTCGCTGACGAGCGAGCGCTGTGAGACGGGGATATCATCGTTCCCATCAATTGGTGAGCCCCCAATCGTCTTCTCTCGGTCATAGTCGCCTTCTTTGCTTCTCCTCATATCTGTCATCGTTTCTTCTGTTGACCACTCTCTGGCTGGTCCGCTTCGACCAGGTTCGGTAACAGCGTGTGCCAAGGTCTGGCCAGCTGTCTCCTCTTGTGTGGTTTGTTGCTCCAGGCGGCCGGCGTCAGAAAGAGCGCGTGTCTGACGTTTCCACTCGACGTGACGAAAGGGATTCCAAGACTGATCGGTGCTGGTACGACTGAGAGTATGCGCTTGACGCTTGATGTTGAAGTGGTTGACTGTGGTGGTGGTGGTGGTGTGTGTGTCAGTAACCAATAGAGCAAGTAAAATAGCAGTGCAGGATAGCAGATAGTGGCAGGAGTTCTAGGGCATGTGGTAGAGAAACCAATGATTGACACTATGGGTACGAAGAAAAAGTGAAGAAACTGAAAGGGGACCTTACAGGAAGACATCGCCAAGAACTAGGGTCCAAGTTGTTACGTGGGTCAACTGATGCGAATGTTCCGTATGTACCGTAAGTTGGGCTGCGTTGCGTATCACTCGCGGCGCGGCACGGCACTGCAAAGTATAAAATAGAGAAAAAGAGACAAAAGATGGGGATGCCAAGGTCTCGAGAAAAACAGGGACCAAGTTCAATCGAGGGAGGTGGGCTTGGTCTAGGTTTTGTTTTGTTTTGTTGATTGATTTCAGGTCTTGCTCAATGTTAGGTACCGAGCGAGTGAGGTCACCAGCTTTTGTCTTCCCCTTTATTTCCCTGAATGGGTTCTATGCTGGCCGGTTATTATGAGCGGCACGACACGTCAAGGGGACCTCACGACTGGCAAAAAAACAAGCTCCGTGAAGAAAGGTCTCGCCGCGACAGGGAACAAGAGGCCTCCTCCTGTTCTGGAGCTCTCCAACTCCTCCAATAAGCTTGATTCTGGTTCCACTGGCATCACTGGCAGCCACAACGCCAGCTAACATGACCGAGTGGCTGTATTCGTGTCCATGGCCAGACGGTGTGAGCCAGCGAGTTACAGTACACGATTCAGGGTTGTGCAGCTGACCACTTCACTGAGCAACAGCCCATTGGCAGGCTGTGTCCGTGGCTCATCAGCTAGTAAACTACTTGCAGTCTAACTTAAATGACCAGACGGACACCAGAGTCTTCTTCTTGCGGGTCGTCATCAACGACGCGAGAACTGGTCGTTAATGCTCGCAGGGATTAGACCTTGCCAAGCCGGCTAACTATGCCGAGCCGATCTGCTTATGCCTTGGCGATCTGACTACAGCGACAAGCAATCAAAATTATGTCATCTATGCATGTCTTTATCCAATTGCCTTGTTTCTTGGCACTCGCATGGCTCATTCATTTCCGCCTTATATCCAGCATTGCTTGTTTTAGACTTGCACTTTTCGCATCGTCGTACAACTTTATTATTAACTCCAAAATTATACGATAAAACAGTCCCATTTCTGGAAGCCGTCGTTATTCCCAAATCGAGGCTGGGGCTTCTTTTCTTTCTTTAACAGTATAGTGAGCTTTGCTACTGTTTCCAAGTATGCTCAATTTATGTGTAGTCATTTTTTATGCCAGTCATCACAAAGGGATTAGATACAGTGGCTATCATAATATTGTCTCTGTATTTAAATGGTCCTAAATGCGCCAGCTTCGCTGATATGCATTGTATGCTGCGCTTGATCTCTTGCCCGTCCGACCAAAAGATGAGCTACATGGCCTCATGGCTATAGCTCAGGTATCATCAAATTGCAAAGCCACAATGCTCCAAAACGCCGTTCCTCTTCTCTTGGCTGCCTTTTCACTTCTGAAGACCAATGTATGTATGCCCCATCGGCTAAAGCCATTTTCCCACTAAACGCTTTCTTCGATGCGCCCTCGCGGGCGGACAAACGCCTGTCCCTGTCACTTTCGTTACTTGCTTGAAAACAGTCCAAATCACTTCATAGCCCATGTCTTAATGTCTGCTCAAATCCAGTCTCCATCTCCAAGATTTGCATCCATCTCCGGCTCAGGTAATGGGTTTTTTCGAGGTCGACCCCTTTTTCGTGGCTGGGAGTCGGAACGCGCCCGTTTCTTGCGACCACTGGGCGTATGTCCTCCCTTTCGCTTGCGTCCCCTATCCGCAACAGCTTCGCCTTCTTCATCCTCGTCTGCACTCGGAGTCGATGGCCCTAAGTCCATCTGTTCACCGTCATCGGCGACCTTGAACTCCTTGTCAACGTTGAGGAGTTCAACCAGGTCAGTACACTTCCTGATCATTCGCTCCTGGTCCTGAAGGCCAGCCATATGAGACTCAATTTCGTCCCAGACCTTATCTCCGTGAACTCCTTGGACCTTGACTGGTGTCTTGTTGAGATCTTTAGCCAGTGCTTTGGCCTTACTGTCGTGTCGGCTAGTTCCCATGCCGTAAAGTCGGCGCAGGTGCGTTCGCGTCTCCCACATT